CTCGCCTGGCATGCTCGGAAATCCGTGGGCAGGGGGAGTGTAGCCAGTCTAGGGGGGTGGGGGGGGGGGCAGTCACTTGACATGCGTGAAAAGCTGGAATGTTCGAGTTTACACTGTCTCGCTCGAGAGAGCCCAGGTGAGCAGACTGCCGCGCCGCCGCGTGCCCCCCCCCCAACTAAGTTAGCACCCGTTTCTAACTGTTTGTGCCCTCCGCCATTCGTAGCATGGCCACGGAAGAAAGTTCAAGTAGTCCGTAACCATCCGGTATCATCCACTTCAGGGGCCTATCTTATCCTTCCCCAGGCTACAGCACCAGGTGTTGTGTACTGGAGTGAATTTCTTATCACCTGTGTGACTCTCTCACATAAGGCTGTGTCAGAGTCCGCGATCCGTCGCAGGTTTCGCTGATTTTCGCGATTTGCGATTTGCGCGAAACCTGCGACGGATCGCAAAAATTGCAAGTGCCCCATTTGAACATTTGAAACACTGAATATGAAACAAGTGGAATCATGAGCAGTCGTCATTCAGCCATCACTATCAAGCAGAAGTGGCGGCAGGATTGGAGAACACCTTGCAGTATTGATCGGGCACTTGTGATTTCCGTGACCCGTCGCGTGAATCGCGCAAATCGCGAAAATCAGCGAAACCTGCGACGGATCGCGGACTCTGACACCAGCCTAAGACAGAAAGCGACTTTTTCGCGTTTCGCGCGCGAAACATTTTTCGCTGCGGGAACTCAGGTCCACCCATGATCAGCGTGGACCTGAGGTTCCGCAGCGAAAATGTTTCGCGCTGCGAAACGCGAAAAAGTCGCCTTCAGTCCTAGTGAACCACACCCTTGGAACTTAATGCAGCGTAGGACCTCCTAATGTTCACCGTGACTCTTCCAGATCCAACGCAGATTTGTGGAACATGTAAAACTTGCACATTCCGTAAATCCTGATGAGTACTCGATAGAGAATATCGTATTCGATGACAAAAAATTGTACGAGGTGCGTCTGTTTTGTTGTAACTTTAGCAAGTTCAGTTCGAAGATTATTGCGATTTCTCGTGACTTATACAGTTTTTGTTGAAACCATTTATTCCTCGTTTCTCGAGGCTTGTCACATGCCAATGTGGACTCAGTACCCTACGTGACGGTGGCTTCGAAAACTCGATATCACTTAGGCTTTTAGGTTTATTCGAATAATATCGTAATTTTGGGGCAAAAAGCCGGGAAGAGTCAGCAAGTCTCTGCTCTTCTGCGCCCTCTCACAGGGTAGCATGGTCTTCCAGTGTGAGAGACATTGCGGTACAGAACACTCAACGCTAAACGCACTTTAGGACATAGCCTTAGGGGTGGGGAAATGCCGGTGTACGTGAGTAATTTTCATTTCCCCGGAATTTCTCCCCTTCTAGGCTGTTTTGGGGATAAGAAATTGGTACACTCATCCAAATGCTTCCCCGCAAAAAGCAGCTCTAGAACCCGCACTGCAGACGAAGACTTGGAAAAATGGGGTCGAATGAGGGCGCTAGCAGACCGTGTCTTCAAAGAGCTTGAGCGAAATCGTAGTTGGGGCGGATCACACGGATATCAGCAAAGCATGCTGGACAACAGCTTATCCACGCAACTTCTATCAAGTGCACGTCACTTCCGGTGACACGCCTACCCCAACTTTCGGATATCGACTGTACCTAGTCTTGCTGAAATAGCGTCCGTATATCGTCCATGAGTACTACTCGCAAATCCCCCCTTTCACACATTTTATCTAACTGGCCCGTAGACCAATAAAAATACGATAACATTAATGTATTGACACATTACAGAAGTGGCGGCTCCTTACGGAACAAAAGTGCAACTTGAAATGGGTGATAGTGAGTACGAAGACGTTAGGTGATAAGAGAATATATCACTTCCGCTGTAAGATGGCCATGCCGTGGCCAGGTTATGCTAAAGGACGACGGAGATCAAAGAAGCTCGTGCCACACTGTACCGCTTTTATGGAGGTATGACCACGATTAGCTAATTTTCTACTCATTTTTGAGTACATTATTCACAGGTGATCGAACTTGGAAACAAGTACGAAGTGGAGTACTGCACAACCCATTTTGGACACGGATCAGCTCCCGAGTTAATGGACACTGACCAGGAATCTAAACAAATCGTACCACTGAGAACAGTTCCAAACTTATTGCGCTCGAACAAGTATTTACTACGACGCTTTGACGAGGTAAGCGTTGAATATTTATCTGATGGTCACTGTTTCTTGACTGTAGAAGGAGAATGGATTAGAACAGAACACTACACTTTCATTTTTGCTCACCTATTCTTGTTAACGTCTCCACTGAACCCGAGTAGGACTAATTTAGTCCGTTTATTGCCGCACAGAGATTGAAAAGGAAATACAAAAATGATTAGGAAATTTAGTGAAATATCTGGAAATTTCTTATGGAGTATTTATAGGAGGTCGCTGCTCTGCGCTCTAAATTGTCACAACTGTCAGAGATACCTGGACAGCAAGTGAATGAGCACCTCTCAATGATAGTAGGTATCATTAAAGATGCAGGCGAATCGACATCAACGGTTTGTTCATCATACCAAATTGCGAACGAAACGCTGTCCTCGTCTACTGTAAGTACTTATTCTAGTGAAGTGAGTTCTAAAAATGTTGAAAGCGGTACCGAAAATAACTAATGGGATTTTAGGTTACCACGCCAAAAGTCAAGCAGAGCATTACACTACAAAAAGTCAAAGAGGAAAAATAGATTACCTTCAAGAACTCATCTTCCAGTGGCTTTTGTGTCGCTTTGACTTTCTTATTGATTTACAGGTATTTCCACAACTTGCGCTACCGTTAGCAATAATATCGATTGGAACTGATCATTCGCTGTCTACTGTTTTTACCTTTTTTTCATTTTTTCCCACCCATAATTATAATCAATTATTCTGTAACTTGTTCCTCACGGAAGTACCTGCCCTCACCGACCATATTTTGGAAAAAAAAATCAGAACTAACTGGAGCACATATGTGACAGAAGCATTTGGGCTGGTGTCAGAGTCCGCGATCCTTCGCAGGTTTCGCTGATTTTTGTGATTTCCGCGACCCGTCGCGTGAATCGCGCAAATCGCGAAAATCAGCGAAACCTGCGACGGATCGCGGACTCTGACACCAGCCCAAATGCTTCTGTCACATACGTGCTCCAGTGATACGACCAACCTTATGATATTATTTTCAATATATTTTTTCCTGAAGCCGTACTTGAAGACATTCACGAAGTTTGACGAAAGCAAAACGGTTACCCCACTTTCTTCACGATTTGGGGCGCGGCCGCGGAAAGCGCGAAAACGCTCCACCGCCACAGTTCGCGGAAACCGTAGACTCGTCCGCGTTTGCCGCGGCCGCGCCCCAAGTCGTGAAGAAAGTGGGGGACCCAAACAAAACAGTTTTTTCTGCATTATCGGATCCGTGTGGATAATTTGGATCACATAGTCGAGCGCTTTGACCGTGTTCAACGGGTTCTTTAGCATATATACATGTCTAGGTCACAAATATGTTGCTATAATTATTCATTACATATGCGATAACAACAATTGCATAATTATTTCTTAAGTTCTAATAAATATTGTGGCTGACAGTATATTGATCGAACAGCTTAGATATGCGAACGTAGGCGTGATTTTTACGTTAAAAACATTTGAAAATTGGTCTATGAATCGTTAGTTTACACCTTAGAACACACAACATATTACGAGCTACAAGAAACTTATATAAATTATTTTCAACAAATGCAGCTATGCTTGCGTCACCAATAAGTAACATGAGAACAGCAAGATGTTATTATGTAAGTTTAGCCTTGAGAAGAGCTCAAGAGATCGGTTGGTTAATATTGAATCACATTTAATATTGCAATACGAATCTACGGCGTTCCGTACCTTTGATCACGGAAAACCTTCAGTTGCTCGATGGCAAGATGGAGCTTTTTTGCTGGTCCAAATGTGAATGAGAGGTGACTGCGTAGATCGTCGAAACCCATCATTAGCATTGCGTCTCCGTCGACATCTTCTCGCAAAAACGTTGCTGCACACGTCTCAGAACCTGTCACTGCTTGCGCCCAGCGGGCCGCTACATCCGGCTGGAAACGTACGCGTTAATAGCATCAGTGATTCAAACTAGATATGGAAGGTGGTAGAAGTAGAAGATAAGCTGCTCAGTTACAGGCTGGCAGAAGCATGCCATTGGAGAGAAAACTTATCAGATGGTAAAAGTGATAACGTTGATGAAAATCCATACTTCCGATTTCGTTCTTCATACGAACATTGAAAGAAAAGTATCTCTATTGAGTTAGCTTCTCATTACTTTCTCTCTCTCACTGTAATTGAAAAAACTGAATTTTCGAATTCTTGAAATCAAGAATAAGACGATGAGTTCTTGGCGAAGAATGCCTTTTGGGATGCGCCGTGTACTTCACTTTCATTCAATCTTGAAGTCCACTAGGCCTATGTATAAGT